TCCCTCCCATTTACCCTACCAGGTGCGTCGCCCTAGGGGCTCTCCCAGGGATGTCGGTGCCTCCAGGGGCCCTGCAAAGGGTGTCGGTGCTCCCAGGGGCCCTGTTAGGGGCGGTGGCGCACCCAGGGGCCTTCCCAGGTGCGGTGGCACCCACAGGGTCCCTCTCAGGGGCACCGGTGGCCCCAGAAGGCCTCTCAGGTGTTGTGGCGCCCACAGGAGCCCGCCAAGGGCTAACGTCGCCCCCAGGGGAACGCCAAAGGGTAACGTTGACCCCAGTCGCTCTTCTGTGGTCAGCTATGCCTCCAGGGGCTCTCCTCAGGGTCACCGGTGCCCCCAGGCGATCTCTTAGGTATGGTGGCGCCCCCAGGGACCCGCCAAGGGGTAACATCGCCCCCAGGAGCTCTTCTTAGGGGCAGAGCGATGCCCCCAGGGTCTCCCCTCACGGTCAGCCGTGCCTCCAGGGGTCCTTCCAGAGCAGGTGGCGCCCCAAGGGGCAGCGGTACCCTCAGGGGCCTTCTCAGGGGCCCTACCAGAGGCGTCCCTTACCTGGAGACCTATAGCTTTTGCTGGAAGTGTCGTACATATTGCATACGTCCAGCAATCCCTTACTTAACTGTGATTGGTGACTAAAATATAAATGCAAATATCAGCCAATAGGAGAACAGAGTAGTCAGTCAGCACAACACCCCAACTTATGTTTTCCTGTTGGATATTTATTCTCTTTTACATTGTTCATGGTGTGATGATACTGGAAATGCGATGGGCGGAGTATTTATTCATATCTCCCATTGTTCTAAATGTGCAAAAACAACTGCCCCCACGGTCAATCCAATGATAGTGCCCCCTGGGTCCCTCCCATGTGCCCTACCAGATGCGTCGCTTTTAGGGACTCTCACAGGGGTGTCGGTGCCCTCAGGGTCCCTGGCAAGGGTGGCGGCGCTCCCAGGGGCCCTACTTGGGGCGGTGGCGCACCCAGGGGCCTTCCCAGTTGCGGTGGCGCCCACAGTGTCCCTCCCAGAGGCACCGGTGCCCCCAGGGGACCTCTCAGGTGTGGTGGCGCCCACAGGGGCCCGCCAAGGGCTAATGTCGCCCCCAGTGGCTCTTCTTTGGGCGAGAGTGATGGCCCCAGGGGCTCTCACTCCCAGGGTCAGTGGTGCCCCTAGGGGTTCCCTCAGGTATGTGGCCCCAAGGGCCTGCCAAGTGTACTTGCTTAGCCTCCAGGGGGCTTGACAAAGAGTAGCAGTGACAGGGACGCCAAAGTGCGTCGCCCATGGGGCTCTTCTTAGGAGCAGCGAGGACCCCGGGGCTCTCAGGGTCAGCAGTGCCCCAGGAACCTGCTGCCAGAGGTGAGGTGGCACCCCAGGGGCGACGAGGTACCTTTAGGGGCCTTCCCAGAGGCCCCTACAGAGCGTCCTGCCTGGAAACCTACAGCTTTTGGTCGTAGTGTGTTACATATTGCATCGTCCAGCGATCCCTTACTTGCTGTGATTGGTGGACCCAAAATGTAAATGCAAATATCAGCCAATAGGAGAACAGAGTAGTCAGTCAGCACAACACCCAACTTATGTTTTCCTGTTGAATGTTGGCTCTCCTTTACATTGTTCATGGTGTGATGATACTGGAAATGCGATGGAAGGGTATTTATTCATATCTCCATTGTTCTAAATGTGCAAAAAACAACTGCCTCAACGGTCAATCCAGTGATGAAAATTAAGCCCTGGGGCACTTCATTTGCCCTACCAGGTGCATCCGATCTTGGGGCTCTCCCAAAGGGTATTAAAACTGACTTGGGGGCCCTGAAAGGTGGCCGACGATCCCGGAGCCCTGCCCGGTGGCGCACCAGGGGCTTCCCGGAGTGCGGTGGCGACCACCTGGGTTCCCCTCATAGGGGCACCCGGAGCCCCAGGGGACCTCCCGGGTGTGGTGGCGCCCCCGGGGCCCTCCCGGGGAGTAGCGTTTCCCACAGGTGCCGCCAAGAGGTAGCGTTGCCCCATGGGTTTCTCAAGGGAGGTAACGTCACCCCAGGGGACCGCCAAGGGGTAACGTGCCCCCAGGGGGCTCCTCCTCAGGGGCACTGGTGGCCCCAGAGGGAGCTCTCGGGTGTGGTAGCGCGCCCATGGGCACGCCAAGGGTAGCATCGCCACCAGGGGCTCTTCTTATGGTGGCGATGCCCCTAAAGAAGAACTCCATTCAGGGGTCAGCAGTGCCCCCAGGGGACCTTCCAGAGGTGGTGGCGCCCCAGGGGGCGGCGCTACCCTCAGGGAGCTTTCAGGTGTCCTACCAGAGGCGTCCCCTACGTGGAGACCAATAAGCTTTGGTGTGGTGTCATACATATTGCATCACGTCCAGCAATACCTTACTTAACTGTGATTGGTGGACTAAAATGTAAAAATGCAAATATCAGCCAATAGGAGAACAGAGCAGTCAGTCAGCACAACACCCCAACTTATGTTTTTTTCCTGTTGGATATTTATTCTCCTTTACATTGTTCATGGTGTGATGATACTGGAAATGCGATGAAGTAGGAGTATTTATTCATATCTCCGGCACCTAAATGTGCAAGCTTACTGCCCCGCGGTCAATTCAATGATAGTGCTTATGGTCCCTCCCATTTACTACCAGGTGCGTCGCCTAGGGGCTCTCCCAGGGTGTCGGTGCCTCCAGGGGCCCTGCAAAGGGTGTGGGGGTGCTCCCAGGGGGCCCTGTTGAGGTCGGTGGCGCACCCAGGGGGCCTTCCCAGGTGCGGTGACACCCACAGGGGTCCCTCCCAGGGGTACCGGTGGCCCCAGAAGGCCTCTCAGGTGTTGTAGCGCCCACAGGGGGACCCGCCAAGGAGCTAACGTCACCCCAGAAGTCGCCAAAGAGGAAGTAGCGTCGCCCCCCCAATCGCTCTTCTGTGGTCAGCTATGCCTCCAGGGGCTCTCCTCAGGGTCACCGTTGCCCCAGGCGATCTCTTAGGTATGGTGTCGCCCCCGGGGGCCCGCCAGGGTAACATCGCCCCAGGAGATAGCTAGCCAGGGGCAGGCAGTGCCCCAGAGTCTCCCCTCACGGTCAGCCGTGCCTCCAGGGGTCCTTCCAGGCAGGTGGCGCCCCAGGGGCAACCCCGGTACCCTCAGGGGCCTTCTCAGGAGCCCTACCATGGCGTCCCTACCTGGAGACCTATAGCTTTTGCTGGAGGTGTAGTTCATATTGCATCGTCCAGCAATCCCTTACTTAACTGTGATTGGTGACTAAAATATAAATGCAAAATATCCAGCTAATAGGAGAACAGAGCAGTCAGTCAGCACAACACCCCAACTTATGTTTTCCTGTTGGATATTTATTCTCTTTACATTGTTCATGGTGTGATGATACTGGAAATCACGATGGGTAGGGTATTTATTCATATCTCCCATTGTTCTAAATGTGTGCAAGCTAGCTGCCCCCCGCGGTCCAGTCAGTGATAGTGCCTAGGTCCTCCCATGTGCCCTGGGTGGTCGCTCTTAGGGACTCTCACAGGGAATGTCGGTGCCCTCAGGGTCCTGGCAAAGGGTGGCTGGCGCTCCCAGGGGCCCTACTTGGGGGCGGTGGCTTGCCAGGGGCCTTCAGTTCGCGGTGGCGCCCACAGTGTCCCTCCAGAGCACGGTGCCCCCAGGGGACCTCTCAGGTGTGGTGGCGCCCACAGGGGCCCGCCAAGGGGTGCCCGTCGCCCCCAGTGGCTCTTCTTTGGGTGCAGTGATGGCCCCAGGGGCTCTCCTCAGGGTCAGTGGTGCCCCTAGGGGTTCCCTCAGGTATGGTGGCCCCAAAGGGCCTGCCAAGGGGTAACGCCGCATCCAGGGGCCCGACAAGGGGTAACTTGGTGACCCCAGGGGACCATAAGGGGTAACGTCGCCCATAGGGGCTCTTCTTAGGAGCAGGACCCCAGGGGCTCTCAGGGGTCAGCAGTTGCCCCAGGGGACCTGCCAGAGGCGGTGGCGCCCCAAGGGGCAGCGGTACCTTTTCAGGGAGCCTTCCCAGAGGCCCTACCAGAAGGCGTCCCCTGCCTGGGAAACCTACAGCTTTTTGGTGGTAGTGTCGTACATATTGCATCGTCCAGCGATCCCTTACTTAACTGTGATTGGTGGACTAAAATGTAAATGCAAATATCAGCCAATAGGAGAACAAGTAGTCAGTCAACTTCAGCACCCCAACTTATGTTTTCCTGTTGGATGTTGTGTCCTTTACATTGTTCATGGTGTGATGATACTGGAAATGCGATGGGCGGAGTATTTATTCATATCTCCCATTGTTCTAAATGTGCAAAAACAACTGCCTCCACGGTCAATCCAGTGATAGTGCGCCCTGGGGCACTTCCATTTGCCCTACCAGGTGCATCGATCTTGGGGCTCTCCCAAGGGTGTCGGCGACCCCAGGGGCCCTGAAAAGGGTGGCGGCAATCCCAGGAGCCCTGCCAGGGGCGGTGGCGCACCCAGGGGCCTTCCCAGGTGCGGTGGCGACCACAGGTTCCCTCGCAAGGGCACCGGAGCCCCCAGGGGACCTCTCAGGTGTGGTGGCGCCCCCAGGGGCCCTCCAAGGGGTAACGTTTCCCACAGGTGCCCGCCAAGAGGTAACGTTGCCCCCATGGGACCGCCAAGGGGTAACGTCACCCCCAAGGGACCGCCAAGGGGTAACGTCGCCCCCAGGGGCTCTCCTCAGGGGCACTGGTGGCCCCAGGGGAGCTCTCAGGTGTGGTGGCGCGCCCATGGGCACGCCAAGGGGTAGCATCGCCACCAGGGGCTCTTCTTATGGGCAGCGATGCCCCTAAAGGCTCCCTTCAGGGTCAGCAGTGCCCCCAGGGGACCTTCCAGAGGTGGTGGCGCCCCAAGGGGCGGCGCTACCCTCAGGGGCTTTCCCAGGTGTCCTACCAGAGGCGTCCCCTACGTGGAGACCTATAGCTTTGGTGGTAGTGTCATACACATTGCATACGTCCAGCAATACCTTACTTAACTGTGATTGGTGGACTAAAATGTAAATGCAAATATCAGCCAATAGGAGAACAGAGCAGTCAGTCAGCACAACACCCCAACTTATGTTTTCCTGTTGGATATTTATTCTCTTTTACATTGTTCATGGTGTGATGATACTCGAAATGCGATGGGCGGAGTATTTATTCATATCTCCCATTGTTCTAAATGTGCAAAAACAACTGCCCCCACGGTCAATCCAGTGATAGCGCCCCCTGAGTCCCGCCCATGTGCCCTACCAGGTGCGTCGCTCTTAGGGGCTCTGACAGGGGTGTCGGTGCCCTCAGGGTCCCTGGCAAGGGTGGCGGCGCTCCCAGGGGCCCTACCTGGGGCGGTGGCGCACCCAGTGGCCTTCTCAGGTGCGGTGGCGCCCACAATGTCCCTCCCAGAGGCACCGGTGCCCCCCAAGGGACCTCTCAGGTGTGGTAGCGCCCCCAGGCGCCGGCCAAAAGGTAACGTCGCCCTTAGGGGCCCGCCAAGGGGTAACGACGCCCACAAGGGCTCTCCTTATGGGCAGCGATGCCCCCAGGGGCTCTCCTCAGGGTTAGCGGTGCCCCCAGGGGACCATCCAAAAGCAGTGGCGCCCCAAGGGGCGACGGTACCCTTGGGGGCCTTCCCAGGGGCGCTACCAGAGGCCTCCACTACCTGGAGACATATAGCTTTAGGTCGTAGTTTCGTACGTATTGGATACGTCCAGCAATCCCTTACTTAACTGTGATTGGTGGACTAAAATGTAAATGCAAATATTAACCAATAGGAGAACAGAGCAGTCAGTCAGCACAACACCCTAACTTATGTTTTCCTGTTGGATATTTATTCTCCTTTACATTGTTCATGGTGTGATGATACTGGAAATGCGATGGGCGGAGTATTTATTCATATTTTCCATTGTTGTAAATATGCAAAAACAACTGCCCCCACGGTCAATACAGTGATAGTGCGTCCTGGGGCCCTCCCAGGTGCGTCACCCTAGGGGCTCTCCCAGGGGTGTCGGTGCCCCCAGGGTCCCTGGCAATGGTGGCGGCACTGCCAGGGGCGGTGGCGCACCCAGGGGCCTTCCCAGGTGTGGTGGCGCCCACAGGGTCCCTCTCAGGGGCACCGTGCCCCCAGGGGACCTCTCAGGGTGGGTTGAGGCCCAGGCGCCGGCCACACAAGGGGCAACATCGCCCCAGGGGACCGCCAAGGGGCAACATCACCCAGAGGGGACCGCCAAGGGGGCTGCTCGCCCACAGGGTCTTTCTTTCTTAGGGGCATCGATGGCCCCAGGGCTCCCTGTCAGCTAGCGGTACCAGGGACCATCCAGCAGTGGCGCCCAAGGCGACGGCACCTTGGGGCCTCCCATGGGCCCTACCAGAGGCCCCACTCTACCTGGAGACATGGTGGCTTTAGGTCATAGTTTCAAGACAGATGCATACGTCCAGCAATCCCTTACTTAACTGTGATTGGTGGACTAAAATGTAAATGCAAATATCAGCCAATAGGAGAACAGAGCAGTAAGTCAGCACAACACCCCAACTTATGTTTTCCTGTTGGATATTTATTCTCCTGTACATTGTTCATGGTGTGATGATACTGGAAATGCGATGGGCGGAGTATTTATTCATATCTCCCATTGTTCTAAATGTGCAAAAACAACTGCACCCACGGTCAATTCAATGATAGTGCCCCCTAGGTCCTCCCATCACCCCATCGCGCGTCGCCCCAGGGGCTCTCCCAGGATGCCGGCGGCTTCCAGGGCCCCCTGCAAGGTGTCGGTGCTCCCAGGGCCCTGTTAGGGCGGTGCGCACCCAGGGCCTTCCCAGGTGCGGTGGCAATTCACAGGGTCCTCTCAGGGGCACCGTGGCCCCAGAAGGGCCTCAGGTGTTGTGGCGCCCACAGGAGCTCCGCCAGGGCTAACGCCGGTTCCCCAGGGGACCGCCAAAGGGTAACGTCGCCCCCAGTCGCTCTTCTGTGGTCAGCTATGCCTCCAGGGGCTCTCCTCAGGGTCACCGGTGCCCCCAGGCGATCTCTTAGGTATGGTGGCGCCCCCAGGGACCCGCCAAGGGGTAACATCGCCCCCAGGAGCTCTTCTTAGGGGCAGAGCGATGCCCCCAGGGTCTCCCCTCACGGTCAGCCGTGCCTCCAGGGGTCCTTCCAGAGCAGGTGGCGCCCCAAAGGGCAGCGGTACCCTCAGGGGCCTTCTCAGGGGCCCTACCAGAGGCGTCCCTTACCTGGAGACCTATAGCTTTTGCTGGAAGTGTCGTACATATTGCATACGTCCAGCAATCCCTTACTTAACTGTGATTGGTGACTAAAATATAAATGCAAATATCAGCCAATAGGAGAACAGAGTAGTCAGTCAGCACAACACCCCAACTTATGTTTTCCTGTTGGATGTTTATTCTCTTTTACATTGTTCATGGTGTGATGATACTGGAAATGCGATGGGCGGAGTATTTATTCATATCTCCCATTGTTCTAAATGTGCAAAAACAACTGCCCCCACGGTCAATCCAATGATAGTGCCCCCTGGGTCCTCCCATGTGCCCTACCAGATGCGTCGCTTTTAGGGACTCTCACAGGGGTGTCGGTGCCCTCAGGGTCCCTGGCAAGGGTGGCGGCGCTCCCAGGGGCCCTACTTGGGGCGGTGGCGCACCCAGGGGCCTTCCCAGTTGCGGTGGCGCCCACAGTGTCCCTCCCAGAGGCACCGGTGCCCCCAGGGGACCTCTCAGGTGTGGTGGCGCCCACAGGGGCCCGCCAAGGGCTATGTCGCCCCCAGGGGACCGCCAAGGGGTAACGTCGCCCCCAGTGGCTCTTCTTTGGGGCAGTGATGGCCCCAGGGGCTCTCCTCAGGGTAAGTGGTGCCCCTAGGGGTTCTCTAAGGTATGGTGACCCCCCAAGGGCCTGCCAAGGGGTAACGCCGCCTCCAGGGGCCCGACAAAGGGTAACGGTGACCCCAGGGGACCGCCTAGGGGTAACGTCGCCCATAGGGGCTCTTCTTTGGAGCAGCGAGGACCTCAGGGGCTCTCAGGGTCAGCGGTGCCCCCAGGGGACCTGCCAGAGGCGGTGGCGCCCCAAGGGGCGACGGTACCTTCAGGGGCCTTCCCAGAGGCCCTACCAGAGGCGTCCCCTGCCTGGAAACCTGCAGCTTTTGGTCGTAGTGTCGTACATATTGCATACGTCCAGCAATCCCTTACTTAACTGTGATTGGTGGACTAAAATGTAAATGCAAATATCAGCCAATAGGAGAACAGAGCAGTCAGTCAGCACAACACCCCAACTTATGTTTTCCTGTTGGATATTTATTCTCTTTTACATTGTTCATGGTGTGATGATACTCGAAATGCGATGGGCGGAGTATTTATTCATATCTCCCATTGTTCTAAATGTGCTAAAACAACTGCCCCCACGGTCAATCCAGTGATAGTGCCCCCTGGGTCCCTCCTATGTGCCCTACCAGGTGCGTCGCTCTTAGGGGCTCTGACTGGGGTGTCGATGCCCTCAGGGTCCCTGGCAAGGGTGGCGGCGCTCCCAGGGGCCCTACCTGGGGCGGTGACGCACCCAGGGGCCTTCTCAGGTGCGGTGGCGCCCACAATGTCCCTCCCAGAGGCACCGGCGCCCCCAAGGGACCTCTCAGGTGTGGTAGCGCCCCCAGGCGTCGGCCAAGGGGTAACGTCGCCCCCAGGGGCCCGCCAAGAGGTAACGTCGTCCACAAGGGCTCTCCTTATTGGCAGCGATGCCCCCAGGGGCTCTCCTCAGGGTCAGCGGTGCCCCCAGGGGACCATCCAAAAGCAGTGGCGCCCCAAGGGGCGACGGTACCCTTGGGGGCCTTCCCAGGGGCCCTACCAGAGGCCTCCACTACCTGGAGACATATAGCTTTAGGTCGTAGTTTCGTACGTATTGCATACGTCCAGCAATCCCTTACTTAACTGTGATTGGTGACTAAAATATAAATGCAAATATCAGCCAATAGGAGAACAGAGTAGTCAGTCAGCACAACACCCCAACTTATGTTTTCCTGTTGGATATTTATTCTCCTTTACATTGTTCATGGTGTGATGATACTGGAAATGCGATGGGCGGAGTATTTATTCATATCTCCCATTGTTCTAAATGTGCAAAAACAACTGCCCCCACTGTCAATCCAGTGATAGTGCGCCCTAGGGCCCTCCCATTTGCCTTACCAGGTGCGTCACTCTTAGGGGCTCTCACAGGGGTGTTGGTGGCCCCAGGGAACCTGGCAAAGGTGGCGGCGCTCCCAGGGGCCCTACCTGGGGCGGTGGCGCACCCAGGGTCCTTCCCAGGTGTGGTGGCCCCAAAGGGTCCCTCCCAGGGGCACCGGTGCCCCCAGGGGACCTCTCAGGTGTGATTGCGCCTCCAGGCGCCGGCCAAGGGGTAACGTCGCCCCCAGGGGACCGCCAAGGGGTAACATCACCCAGAGGGGACCGCCAAGGGGTAATGTCGCCCACAGGGGCTCTTCTTAGGGGCATCGATGCCCCCAGGGGCTCTCATCAGGGTTAGCGGTGCCCCCAGGTGACCTTCCATAGGCGGTGGCGCCCCAAGGGGTGACGGTACTCTCAGGGGCCTTCCCAGGGGCCCTACCAAAGGCGCCCACTACCTTGAGACCTATAGCTTTTGGGGGTAGTGTCGTCCATATTGCATACGTCCAGCAATACCTTACTTAACTGTGATTGGTGGAGTAAAATGTAAATGCAAATATCAGCCAATAGGAGAACAGAGCAGTCAGTCAGCACAACACCCCAACTTATGTTTTCCTGTTGGATATTTATTCTCCTTTACATTGTTCATGGTGTGATGATACTCGAAATGCGATGGGCGGAGAATTTATTCATATCTCCCGTTGTTCTAAATGTGCAAAAACAACTGCCCCCACGGTCAATTCAATGATATTGCCCCCTAGGTCCCTCCCATTTACCCAACCAGGTGCGTCGCCCTAGGGGCTCTCCCAGGGGTGTCGGTGCCTCTAGGGGCCCTGCAAAGGGTGTCGGTGCTCCCAGGGGCCCTGTTAGGGGCGGTGGCGCACCCAGGGGCCTTCCCAGGTGCGGTGGCACCCACAGGGTCCCTCCCAGGGGCACCGGTGGCCCCAGAAGGCCTCTCAGGTGTTGTGGCGCCCACAGGAGCCCGCCAAGGGCTAACGTCGCCCCCAGGGGACCGCCAAAGGGTAACGTCGCCCCCAGTCGCTCTTCTGTGGTCAGCTATGCCTCCAGGGGCTCTCCTCAGGGTCATCGGTGCCCCCAGGCGATCTCTTAGGTATGGTGGCGCCCCCAGGGACCCGCCAAGGGGTAACATCGCCCCCAGGAGCTCTTCTTAGGGGCAGAGCGATGCCCCCATGGTCTCCCCTCACGGTCAGCCGTGCCTCCAGGGGTCCTTCCAGAGCAGGTGGCGCCCCAAGGGGCAGCGGTACCCTCAGGGGCCTTCTCAGGGGCCCTACCAGAGGCGTCCCTTACCTGGAGACCTATAGCTTTTGCTGGAAGTGTCGTACATATTGCATACGTCCAGCAATCCCTTACTTAACTGTGATTGGTGGACTAAAATGTAAATGCAAATATCAACCAATAGGAGAACAGAGCAGTGAGTCAGCACAACACCCCAACTAATGTCTTCCTGTTGGATATTTATTCTCTTTTACATTGTTCATGGTGTGATGATACTGGAAATGCGATGGGCGGAGTATTTATTCATATCTCCCATTGTTCTAAATGTGCAAAAACAACTGCCCCCACGGTCAATCCAGTGATAGTGCCCCCTGGGTCCCTCCCATGTGCCCTACCAGATGCGTCGCTCTTAGGGACTCTCACAGGGGTGTCGGTGCCCTCAGGGTCCCTGGCAAGGGTGGCGGCGCTCCCAGGGGCCCTACTTGGGGCGGTGGCGCACCCAGGGGCATTCCCAGTTGCGGTGGCGCCCACAGTGTCCCTCCCAGAGGCACCGGTGCCCCCAGGGGACCTCTCAGGTGTGGTGGCGCCCACAGAGGCCCGCCAAGGGCTAATGTCGCCCCCAGGGGACCGCCAAGGAGTAACGTCGCCCCCAGGGGACCGCCAAGGGGTAACGTCGCCCTCAGTGGCTCTTCTTTGGGGCAGTGATGGCCCCTTGGGCTCTCCTCAGGGTCAGTGGTGCCCCTAGGGGTTCTCTCAGGTATGGTGGCCCCCCCAAGGGCCTGCCAAGGGGTAACGCCGCCTCCAGGGGCCCGATAAGGGGTAACGGTGACCCCAGGGGACCGCCAAGGGGTAACGTCGCCCATAGGGGCTCTTCTTAGGAGCAGCGAGGACCCCAGGGGCTCTCAGGGTCAGCGGTGCCCCCAGGGGACCTTCCAGAGGCGGTGGCGCCCCAAGGGGCGACGGTACCTTCAGGGGCCTTCCCAGAGGCCCTACCAGAGGCGTCCCCTGCCTGGAAACCTACAGCTTTTGGTCGTAGTGTCGTACATATTGCATACGTCCAGCAATCCCTTACTTAACTGTGATTGGTGGACTAAAATGTAAATGCAAATATCAGCCAATAGGAGAACAGAGCAGTCAGTCAGCACAACACCCCAACTTATGTTTTCCTGTTGGATATTTATTCTCCTTTACATTGTTCATGGTGTGATGATACTGGAAATGCAATGGGCGGAGTATTTATTCATATCTCCCATTGTTCTAAATGTGCAAAAACAACTGCCCCCACGGTCAATCCAGTGATAGTGCCCTCTGGGTCCCTCCCATGTGCCCTACCAGGTGCGTCGCTCTTAGGGGCTCTGACAGGGGTGTCGGTGCCCTCAGGGTCCCTGGCAAGGGTGGCGGCGCTCCCAGGGGCCCTACCTGGGGCGGTGGCGCACCCAGGGGCCTTCTCAGGTGCGGTGGCGCCCACAATGTCCCTCCCAGAGGCACCGGTGCCCCCCAAGGGACCTCTCAGGTGTGGTAGCGCCCCCAGGCGCCGGCCAAGGGGTAACGTCGCCCTTAGGGGCCCGCCAAGGGGTAACGTCGCCCACAAGGGCTCTCCTTATGGGCAGCGATGCCCCCAGGGGCTCTCCTCAGGGTTAGCGGTGCCCCCAGGGGACCATCCAAAAGCAGTGGCGCCCCAAGGGGCGACGGTACCCTTGGGGGCCTTCCCAGGGGCCCTACCAGAGGCCTCCACTACCTGGAGACATATAGCTTTAGGTCATAGTTTCGTACGTATTGCATACGTCCAGCAATCCCTTACTTAACTGTGATTGGTGGACTAAAATGTAAATGCAAATATCAACCAATAGGAGAACAGAGCAGTCAGTCAGCAAAACACCCTAACTTATGTTTTCCTGTTGGATATTTATTCTCCTTTACATTGTTCATGGTGTGATGATACTGGAAATGCGATGGGCGGAGTATTTATTCATATCTTCCATTGTTCTAAATGTGCAAAAACAACTGCCCCCACGGTTAATCCAGTGATAGTGCGCCCTAGGGCCCTCCCATTTGCCTTACCAGGTGCGTCACTCTTAGGGGCTCTCACAGGGGTGTCGGTGCCCCCAGGGAACCTGGCAAAGGTGGCGGCGCTCCCAGGGGCCCTACCTGGGGCGGTGGCGCACCCAGGGTCCTTCCCAGGTGTGGTGGCCCCAGAGGGTCCCTCCCAGGGGCACCGGTGCCCCCAGGGGACCTCTCAGGTGTGGTTGCGCCTCCAGCCGCCGGCCAAGGGGTAACGTCGCCCCCAGGGGACCGCCAAGGGGTAACATCACCCAGAGGGGACCGCCAAGGGGTAATGTCGCCCACAGGGGCTCTTCTTCGGGGGCATCGATGCCCCCAGGGGCTCTCGTCAGGGTTAGCGGTGCCCCCAGGGGACCATCCAAAAGCAGTGGCGCCCCAAGGGGCGACGGTACCCTTGGGGGCCTTCCCATGGGCCCTACCAGAGGCCTCCACTACCTGGAGACATATAGCTTTAGGTCATAGTTTCGTACGTATTGCATACGTTCAGCAATCCCTTACTTAACTGTGATTGGTGGACTAAAATGTAAATGCAAATATCAACCAATAGGAGAACAGAGCAGTCAGTCAGCACAACACCCTAACTTATGTTTTCCTGTTGGATATTTATTCTCCTTTACATTGTTCATGGTGTGATGATACTGGAAATGCGATGGGCGGAGTATTTATTCATATCTCCCGTTGTTCTAAATGTGCAAAAACAACTGCCCCCCACGGTCAATTCAATGATAGTGCCCCATTAGGTCCCTCCCATTTACCCTACCAGGTGCGTCGCCCTAGGGGCTCTCCCAGGGGTGTCGGTGCCTCTAGGGGCCCTGCAAAGGGTGTCGGTGCTCCCAGGGGCCCGGTTAGGGGCGGTGGCGCACCCAGGGGCCTTCCCAGGTGCGGTGGCACCCACAGAGTCCCTCCCAGGGGCACCGGTGGCCCCAGAAGGCCTCTCAGGTGTTGTGGCGCCCACAGGAGCCCGCCAAGGGCTAACGTCGCCCCCAGCGGACCGCCAAAGGGTAACGTCGCCCCCAGTCGCTCTTCTGTGGTCAGCTATGCCTCCAGGGGCTCTCCTCAGGGTCACCGGTGCCCCCAGGCGATCTCTTAGGTATGGTGGCGCCCCCAGGGACCCGCCAAGGGGTAACATCGCCCCCAGGAGCTCTTCTTAGGGGCAGAGCGATGCCCCCAGGGTCTCCCCTCACGGTCAGCCGTGCCTCCAGGGGTCCTTCCAGAGCAGGTGGCGCCCCAAGGGGCAGCGGTACCCTCAGGGGCCTTCTCAGGGGCCCTACCAGAGGCGTCCCTTACCTGGAGACCTATAGCTTTTGCTGGAAGTGTCGTACATATTGCATACGTCCAGCAATCCCTTACTTAACTTTGATTGGTGACTAAAATATAAATGCAAATATCAGCCAATAGGAGAACAGAGTAGTCAGTCAGCACAACACCCCAACTTATGTTTTCCTGTTGGATATTTATTCTCCTTTACATTGTTCATGTTGTGATGATACTCGAAATGCGATGGGCGGAGTATTTATTCATATCTCCCATTGTTCTAAATGTGCAAAAACAACTGCCCCCACGGTCAATCCAGTGATAGTGCCCCCTGGGTCCCTCCCATGTGCCCTACCAGATGCGTCGCTCTTAGGGACTCTCACAGGGGTGTCGGTGCCCTCAGGGTCCCTGGCAAGGGTGGCGGCGCTCCCAGGGGCCCTACTTGGGGCGGTGGCGCACCCAGGGGCCTTCCCAGTTGCGGTGGCGCCCACAGTGTCCCTCCCAGAGGCACCGCTACCCCCAGGGGACCTCTCAGGTGTGGTGGCGCCCACAGGGGCCCGCCAAGGGCTAATGTCGCCCCCAGGGGACCGCCAAAGAGTAACGTCGCCCCCAGGGGACCGCCAAGGGGTAACGTCGCCCCCAGTGGCTCTTCTTTGGGGCAGTGATGGCCCCAGGGGCTCTCCTCAGGGTAAGTGGTGCCCCTAGGGGTTCTCTCAGGTATGGTGGCCCCCCCCCCAAGGGCCTGCCATGGGGTAACGCCGCCTCCAGGGGCCCGACAAGGGGTAACGTTGACCCCAGGGGACCGCCAAGGGGTAACGTCGCCCATAGGGGCTCTTCTTAGGAGCAGCGAGGACCCCAGGGGCTCTCAGGGTCAGCGGTGCCCCCAGGGGACCTGCCAGAGGCGGTGGCGCCCCAAGGGGCGACGGTACCTTCAGGGGCCTTCCCAGAGGCCCTACCAGAGGCGTCCCCTGCCTGGAAACCTACAGCTTTTGGTCGTAGTGTCGTACATATTGCATACGTCCAGCAATCCCTTACTTAACTGTGATTGGTGGACTAAAATGTAAATGCAAATATCAGCCAATAGGAGAACAGAGCAGTTAGTCAGCACAACACCCCAACTTATGTTTCCTGTTGGATATTTATTCTCCTTTACATTGTTCATGGTGTGATGATACTCGAAATGCGATGGGCGGAGTATTTATTCATATCTCCCATTGTTCAAAATGTGCAAAAACAACTGCCCCCACGGTCAATCCAGTGATAGTGCCCCCTGGGTCCCTCCCATGTGCCCTACCAGGTGCGTCGCTCTTAGGGGCTCTGACAGGGGTGTCGGTGCCCTCAGGGTCCCTGGCAAGGGTGGCGGCGCTCCCAGGGGCCCTACCTGGGGCGGTGGCGCACCCAAGGGCCTTCTCAGGTGCGGTGGCGCCCACAATGTCCCTCCCAGAGGCACCGGTGCCCCCAAGGGACTTCTCAGGTGTAGTAGCGCCCCCAGGCGCCGGCCAAGGGGTAACGTCGCCCCCAGGGGCCCGCCAAGGGGTAACGTCGCCCACAAGGGCTCTCCTTATGGGCAGCGATGCCCCCAGGGGCTCTCCTCAGGGTCAGCGGTGCCCCCAGGGGACCATCCAAAAGCAGTGGCGCCCCAAGGGGCGACGGTACCCTTGGGGGCCTTCCCAGGGGCCCTACCAGAGGCCTCCACTACCTGGAGACATATAGCTTTAGGTCGTAGTTTCGTACGTATTGCATACGTCCAGCAATCCCTTACTTAACTGTGATTGGTGGACTAAAATGTAAATGCAAATATCAACCAATAGGAGAACAGAGCAGTCAGTCAGCACAACACCCTAACTTATGTTTTCCTGTTGGATATTTATTCTCCTTTACATTGTTCATGGTGTGATGATACTGGAAATGCGATGGGCGGAGTATTTATTCATATCTTCCATTGTTCTAAATGTGCAAAAACAACTGCCCCCACGGTTAATCCAGTGATAGTGCGCCCTAGGGCCCTCCCATTTGCCTTACCAGGTGCGTCACTCTTAGTGGCTCTCACAGGGGTGTCGGTGCCCCCAGGGAACCTGGCAAAGGTGGCGGCGCTCCCAGGGGCCCTACCTGGGGCGGTGGCGCACCCAGGGTCCTTCCCAGGTGTGGTGGTCCCAGAGGGTCCCTCCCAGGGGCACCGGTGCCCCCAGGGGACCTCTCAGGTTTGGTTGCGCCTCCAGGCGCCGGCCAAGGGGTAACGTCGCCCCCAGGGGACCGCCAAGGGGTAACATCACCTAGAGGGGACCGCCAAGGGGTAATGTCGCCCACAGGGGCTCTCGTCAGGGTTAGCGGTGCCCCCAGGGGACCTTCCATAGGCGGTGGCGCCCCAAGGGGCGACGGTACCCTCAGGGGCCTTCCCAGGTGCCCTACCAGAGGCGTCCCCTACGTGGAGACCTATAGCTTTGGTGGTAGTGTCATACATATTGCATACGTCCAGCAATACCTTACTTAACTGTGATTGGTGGACTAAAATGTAAATGCAAATATCAGCCAATAGGAGAACAGAGCAGTCAGTCAGCACAACACCCCAACTTATGTTTTCCTGTTGGATATTTATTCTCCTTTACATTGTTCATGGTGTGATGATACTGGAAATGCGTTGGGCGGAGTATTTATTCATATCTCCCGTTGTTCTAAATGTGCAAAAACAACTGCCCCCACGGTAAATTCAATGATAGTGCCCCCTAGGTCCCTCCCATTTACCCTACCAGGTGCGTCGCCCTAGGGGCTCTCCCAGGGATGTCGGTGCCTCCAGGGGCCCTGCAAAGGGTGTCGGTGCTCCCAGGGGCCCTGTTAGGGGCGGTGGCGCACCCAGGGGCCTTCCCAGGTGCGGTGGCACCCACAGGGTCCCTCTCAGGGGCACCGGTGGCCCCAGAAGGCCTCTCAGGTGTTGTGGCGCCCACAGGAGCCCGCCAAGGGCTAACGTCGCCCCCAGTCGCTCTTCTGTGGTCAGCTATGCCTCCAGGGGCTCTCCTCAGGGTCACCGGTGCCCCCAGGCGATCTCTTAGGTATGGTGGCGCCCCCAGGGACCCGCCAAGGGGTAACATCGCCCCCAGGAGCTCTTCTTAGGGGCAGAGCGATGCCCCCAGGGTCTCCCCTCACGGTCAGCCGTGCCTCAAGGGTCCTTCCAGAGCAGGTGGCGCCCCAAGGGGCAGCGGTACCCTCAGGGGCCTTCTCAGGGGCCCTACCAGAGGCGTCCCTTACCTGGAGACCTATAGCTTTTGCTGGAAGTGTCGTACATATTGCATACGTCCAGCAATCCCTTACTTAACTGTGATTGGTGACTAAAATATAAATGCAAATATCAGCCAATAGGAGAACAGAGTAGTCAGTCAGCACAACACCCCAACTTATGTTTTCCTGTTGGATATTTATTCTCTTTTACATTGTTCATGGTGTGATGATACTGGAAATGCGATGGGCGGAGTATTTATTCATATCTCCCATTGTTCTAAATGTGCAAAAACAACTGCCCCCACGGTCAATCCAATGATAGTGCCCCCTGGGTTCCTCCCATGTGCCCTACCAGATGCGTCGCTTTTAGGGACTCTCACAGGGGTGTCGGTGCCCTCAGGGTCCCTGGCAAGGGTGGCGGCGCTCCCAGGGGCCCTACTTGGGGCGGTGGCGCACCCAGGGGCCTTCCCAGTTGCGGTGGCGCCCACAGTGTCCCTCCCAGAGGCACCGGTGCCCCCAGGGGACCTCTCAGGTGTGGTGGCGCCCACAGGGGCCCGCCAAGGGCTAATGTCGCCCCCAGGGGACCGCCAAGGGGTAACGTCGCCCCCAGTGGCTCTTCTTTGGGGCAGTGATGGCCCCAGGGGCTCTCCTCAGGGTAAGTGGTGCCCCTAGGGGTTCTCTCAGGTATGGTGGCCCCCCCCAAGGGCCTGCCAAGGGGTAACGCCGCCTCCAGGGGCCCGACAAGGGGTAACGGTGACCCCAGGGGACCGCCAAGGGGTAACGTCGCCCATAGGGGCTCTTCTTTGGAGCAGCGAGGACATCAGGGGCTCTCAGGGTCAGCGGTGCCCCCAGGGGACCTGCCAGAGGCGGTGGCGCCCCAAGGGGCGACGGTACCTTCAGGGGCCTTCCCAGAGGCCCTACCAGAGGCGTCCCCTGCCTGGAAACCTGCAGCTTTTGGTCGTAGTGTCGTACATATTGCATACGTCCAGCAATCCCTTACTTAACTGTGATTGGTGGACTAAAATGTAAATGCAAATATCAGCCAATAGGAGAACAGAGCAGTCAGTCAGCACAACACCCCAACTTATGTTTTCCTGTTGGATATTTATTCTCTTTTACATTGTTCATGGTGTGATGATACTCGAAATGCGATGGGCGGAGTATTTATTCATATCTCCCATTGTTCTAAATGTGCAAAAACAACTGCCCCCACGGTCAATCCAGTGATAGTGCCCCCTGGGTCCCTCCCATGTGCCCTACCAGGTGCGTCGCTCTTAGGGGCTCTGACAGGGGTGTCGATGCCCTCAGGGTCCCTGGCAAGGGTGGCGGCGCTCCCAGGGGCCCTACCTGGGGCGGTGACGCACCCAGGGGCCTTCTCAGGTGCGGTGGCGCCCACAATGTCCCTCCCAGAGGCACCGGTGCCCCCAAGGGACCTCTCAGGTGTGGTAGCGCCCCCAGGCGTCGGCCAAGGGGTAACGTCGCCCCCAGGGGCCCGCCAAGAGGTAACGTCGTCCACAAGGGCTCTCCTTATGGGCAGCGATGCCCCCAGGGGCTCTCCTCAGGGTCAGCGGTGCCCCCAGGGGACCATCCAAAAGCAGTGGCGCCCCAAGGGGCGACGGTACCCTTGGGGGCCTTCCCAGGGGCCCTACCAGAGGCCTCCACTACCTGGAGACATATAGCTTTAGGTCGTAGTTTCGTACGTATTGCATACGTCCAGCAATCCCTTACTTAACTGTGATTGGTGGACTAAAATGTAAATGCAAATATCAGCCAATAGGAGAACAGAGTAGTCAGTCAGCACAACACCCCAACTTATGTTTTCCTGTTGGATATTTATTCTCCTTTACATTGTTCATGGTGTGATGATACTGGAAATGCGATGGGCGGAGTATTTATTCATATCTCCCATTGTTCTAAATGTGCAAAAACAACTGCCCCCATGGTCAATCCAGTGATAGTGCCCCCTGGGTCCCTCCCATGTGCCCTACCAGGTGCGTCGCTCTTAGGGGCTCTGATAGGGGTGTCGATGCCCTCAGGGTCCCTGGCAAGGGTGGCGGCGCTCCCAGGGGCCCTACCTGGGGCGGTGACGCACCCAGGGGCCTTCTCAGGTGCGGTGGCGCCCACAATGTCCCTCCCAGAGGCACCGGTGCCCCCAAGGGACCTCTCAGGTGTGGTAGCGCCCCCAGGCGTCGGCCAAGGGGTAACGTCGCCCCATGGGGCCCGCCAAGAGGTAACGTCGTCCACAAGGGCTCTCCTTATGGGCAGCGATGCCCCCAGGGGCTCTCCTCAGGGTCAGCGGTGCCCCCAGGGGACCATCCAAAAGCAGTGGCGCCCCAAGGGGCGACGGTACCCTTGGGGGCCTTCCCAGGGGCCCTACCAGAGGCCTCCACTACCTGGAGACATTTAGCTTTAGGTCGTAGTTTCGTACGTATTGCATACGTCCAGCAATCCCTTACTTAACTGTGATTGGTGGACTAAAATGTAAATGCAAATATCAGCCAATAGGAGAACAGAGTAGTCAGTCAGCACAACACCCCAACTTATGTTTTCCTGTTGGATATTTATTCTCCTTTACATTGTTCATGGTCTGATGATACTGGAAATGCGATGGGCGGAGTATTTATTCATATCTCCCATTGTTCTAAATGTGCAAAAACAACTGCCCCCACGGTCAATCCAGTGATAGTGCGCCCTGGGGCACTCCCATTTGCCCTACTAGGTGCATCGATCTTGGGGCTCTCCCAAGGGTGTCGGCGACCCCAGGGGCCCTGACAAGGGTGGCGGCAATCCCAGGAGCCCTGCCAGGCGCGGTGGCGCACCCAGGGGCCTTCCCAGGTGCGGTGGCGACCACAGGTTCCCTTGCAAGGGCACCGGAGCCCCCAGGGGACCTCTCAGGTGTGGTGGCGCCCCCAGGGGCCCTCCAAGGGGTAACGTTTCCCACAGGTGCCCGCCAAGAGGTAACGTTGCCCCCATGGGACCGCCAAGGGGTAACGTCACCCCCAGGGGACCGCCAAGGGTTAACGTCGCCCCCAGGGGCTCTTCTTTGCTGCAGCAATGCCCCCAGGGGCTCTCCTCAGGGGCACTGGTGCCCCCAGGGGAGCTCTCAGGTGTGGTGGCGCGCCCATGGGCACGCCAAGGGGTAGCATCGCCCCCAGGGGCTCTTCTTATGGGCAGCGATGCCCCTAGGGGCTCCCTTCAGGGTCAGCAGTGCCCCCAGGGGACCTTCCAGAGGTGGTGGCGCCCCAAGGGGCGGCGCTACCCTCAGGGGCCTTCCCAGGTGCCCTACCAGAGGCGTCCCCTACGTGGAGACCTATAGCTTTGGTGGTAGTGTCATACATATTGCATAAGTCCAGCAATACCTTACTTAACTGTGATTGGTGGACTAAAATGTAAATGCAAATATCAGCCAATAGGAGAACAGAGCAGTCAGTCAGCACAACACCCCAACTTATGTTTTCCTGTTGGATATTTATTCTCCTTTACATTGTTCATGGTGTGATGATACTGGAAATGCGATGGGCGGAGTATTTATTCATATCTCCCATTGTTCTAAATGTGCAAAAACAACTGCCCCCACGGTCAATTCAATGATGGTGCCCCCTAGGTCCCTCCTATTTACCCTACCAGGTGCGTCGCCCTAGGGGCTCTCCCAGGGGTGTCGGTGCCTCCAGGGGCCCTGCAAAGGGTGTCGGTGCTCCCAGGGGCCCTGTTAGGGGCGGTGGCGCACCCAGGGGCCTTCCCAGGTGCGGTGACACCCACAGGGTCCCTCCCAGGGGCACCGGTGGCCCCAGAAGGCCTCTCAGGTGTTGTGGCGCCCACAGGGGCCCGCCAAGGGTAACGTCGCCCCCAATCGCTCTTCTGTGGTCAGCTATGCCTCCAGGGGCTTTCCTCAGGGTCACCGGTGCCCCCAGGCGATCTCTTAGGTATGGTGGCGCCCCCAGGGGCCCGCCAAGGGGTAACATCGCCCCAGGAGCTCTTCTTAGGGGCAGAGCGATGCCCCCAGGGTCTCCCCTCACGGTCAGCCGTGCCTCCAGGGGTCCTTCCAGAGCAGGTGGCGCCCCAAGGGGCAGTGGTACCCTCAGGGGCCTTCTCAGGGGCCCTACCAGAGGCGTCCCTTACCTGGAGACCTATAGCTTTTGCTGGAAGTGTCGTTCATATTGCATACGTCCAACAATCCCTTACTTAACTGTGATTGGTGACTAAAATATCAATGCAAATATCAGCCAATAGGAGAACAGAGCAGTCAGTCAGCACAACACCCCAACTTATGTTTTCCTGTTGGATATTTATTCTCTTTTACATTGTTCATGGTGTGATGATACTCGAAATGCGATGGGCGGAGTATTTATTCATATCTCCCATTGTTCTAAATGTGCAAAAACAACTGCCCCCACGGTCAATCCAGTGATAGTGCCCCCTGGGTCCCTCCCATGTGCCCTACCAGGTGCGTCGCTCTTGGGGCTCTGACAGGGGTGTCGGTGCCCTCAGGGTCCCTGGCAAGGGTGGCGGCGCTCCCAGGGGCCCTACCTGGGGCGGTGGCGCACCCAGGGGCCTTCTCAGGTGCGGTGGCGCCCACAATGTCCCTCCCAGAGGCACCAGTGCCCCCCAAGGGACCTCTCAGGTGTGGTAGCGCCCCCAGGCGCCGGCCAAAAGGTAACGTCGCCCTTAGGGGCCCGCCAAGGGGTAACGTCGCCCACAAGGGCTCTCCTTATGGGCAGCGATGCCCCCAGGGGCTCTCCTCGGGGTTAGCGGTGCCCCCAGGGGACCATCCAAAAGCAGTGGCGACCCAAGGGGCGACGGTACCCTTGGAGGCCTTCCCAGGGGCCCTACCAGAGGCCTCCACTACCTGGAGACATATAGCTTTAGGTCGTAGTTTCGTACGTATTGCATACGTCCAGCAATCCCTTACTTAACTGTGATTGGTGGACTAAAATGTAAATGCAAATATCAACCAATAGGAGAACAGAGCAGTCAGTCAGCACAACACCCTAACTTATGTTTTCCTGTTGGATATTTATTCTCCTTTACATTGTTCATGGTGTGATGATACTGGAAATGCGATGGGCGGAGTATTTATTCATATCTCCCATTGTTCTAAATGTGCAAAAACAACTGCCCCCACGGTTAATCCAGTGATAGTGCGCCCTAGGGCCCTCCCATTTGCCTTACCAGGTGCGTCACTCTTAGGGGCTCTCACAGGGGTGTTGGTGGCCCCAGGGAACCTGGCAAAGGTGGCGGCGCTCCCAAGGGCCCTACCTGGGGCGGTGGCGCACCCAGGGTCCTTCCCAGGTGTGGTGGCCCCAGAGGGTCCCTCCCAGGGGCACCGGTGCCCCCAGGGGACCTCTCAGGTGTGGTTGCGCCTCCAGGCGCCGGCCAAGGGGTAACGTCGCCCCCAGGGGACCGCCAAGGGGTAACATCACCCAGAAGGGACCGCCAAGGGGTAATGTCGCCCACAGGGGCTCTTCTTAGGGGCATCGATGCCCCCAGGGGCTTTCGTCAGGGTTAGCGGTGCCCCCAGGGGACCTTCCTTAGGCGGTGGCGCCCCAAGGGGCGACGGTACCCTTGGGGGCCTTCCCATGGGCCCTACCAGAGGCCTCCACTACCTGGAGACATATAGCTTTCGGTCATAGTTTCGTACGTATTGCATACGTCCAGCAATCCCTTACTTAACTGTGATTGGTGGACTAAAATGTAAATGCAAATATCAACCAATAGGAGAACAGAGCAGTCAGTCAGCACAACACCCTAACTTATGTTTTCCTGTTGGATATTTATTCTCCTTTACATTGTTCATGGTGTGATGATACTGGAAATGCGATGGGCGGAGTATTTATTCATATCTTCCATTGTTCTAAATGTGCAAAAACAACTGCCCCCACGGTCAATCCAGTGATAGTGCGCCCTAGGGCCCTCCCATTTGCCTTACCAGGTGCGTCACTCTTAGGGGCTCTCACAGGGGTGTCGGTGCCCCCAGGGAACCTGGCAAAGGTGGCGGCGCTCCCAGGGGCCCTACCTGGGGCGGTGGCGCACCCAGGGTCCTTCCCAGGTGTGGTGGCCCCAGAGGGTCCCTCCCAGGGGCACCGGTGCCCCCAGGGGACCTCTCAGGTGTGGTTGCGCCTCCAGCCGCCGGCCAAGGGGTAACGTCGCCCCCAGGGGACCGCCAAGGGGTAACATCACCCAGAGGGGACCGCCAAGGGGTAATGTCGCCCACAGGGGCTCTTCTTTGGGGCATCGATGCCCCCAGGGGCTCTCGTCAGGGTTAGCGGTGCCCCCAGGGGACCTTCCATAGGCGGTGGCGCCCCAAGGGGCGACGGTACCCTCAGGGGCCTTCCCAGGTGCCCTACCAGAGGCGTCCCCTACGTGGAGACCTATAGCTTTGGTGGTAGTGTCATACATATTGCATACGTCCAGCAATAACAGGTGGACTAAAATGTAAATGCAAATATCAGCCAATAGGAGAACAGAGCAGTCAGTCAGCACAACACCCCAACTTATGTTTTCCTGTTGGATATTTATTCTCCTTTACATTGTTCATGGTGTGATGATACTGGAAATGCGATGGGCGGAGTATTTATTCATATCTCCCGTTGTTCTAAATGTGCAAAAACAACTGCCCCCACGGTCAATTCAATGATAGTGCCCCCTAGGTCCCTCCCATTTACCCTACCAGGTGCGTCGCCCAAGGGGCTCTCCCAGGGATGTCGGTGCCTCCAGGGGCCCTGCAAAGGGTGTCGGTGCTCCCAGGGGCCCTGTTAGGGGCGGTGGCGCACCCAGGGGCCTTCCCAGTTGCGGTGGCGTCCACAGTGTCCCTCCCAGAGGCACCGGTGCCCCCAGGGGACCTCTAAGGTGTGGTGGCGCCCACAAGGGCCCGCCAAGGGCTAATGTCGCCCCCAGGGGACCGCCAAGGGGTAACGTCGCCCCCAGTGGCTCTTCTTTGGGGCAGTGATGGCCCCAGGGGCTCTCCTCAGGGTAAGTGGTGCCCCTAGGGGTTCTCTCAGGTATGGTGGCCCCCCCAAGGGCCTGCCAAGGGGTAACGCCGCCTCCAGGGGCCCGACAAGGGGTAACGGTGACCCCAGGGGACCGCCAAGGGGTAACGTCGCCCATAGGGGCTCTTCTTTGGAGCAGCGAGGACATCAGGGGCTCTCAGGGTCAGCGGTGCCCCCAGGGGACCTGCCAGAGGCGGTGGCGCCCCAAGGGGCGACGGTACCTTCAGGGGCCTTCCCAGAGGCCCTACCAGAGGCGTCCCCTGCCTGGAAACCTGCAGCTTTTGGTCGTAGTGTCGTACATATTGCATACGTCCAGCAATCCCTTACTTAACTGTGATTGGTGGACTAAAATGTAAATGCAAATATCAGCCAATAGGAGAACAGAGCAGTCAGTCAGCACAACACCCCAACTTATGTTTTCCTGTTGGATATTTATTCTCTTTTACATTGTTCATGGTGTGATGATACTCGAAATGCGATGGGCGGAGTATTTATTCATATCTCCCATTGTTCTAAATGTGCAAAACAACTGCCCCCACGGTCAATCCAGTGATAGTGCCCCCTGGGTCCCTCCCATGTGCCCTACCAGGTGCGTCGCTCTTGGGGCTCTGACAGGGGTGTCGGTGCCCTCAGGGTCCCTGGCAAGGGTGGCGGCGCTCCCAGGGGCCCTACCTGGGGCGGTGGCGCACCCAGGGGCCTTCTCAGGTGCGGTGGCGCCCACAATGTCCCTCCCAGAGGCACCAGTGCCCCCCAAGGGACCTCTCAGGTGTGGTAGCGCCCCCAGGCGCCGGCCAAAAGGTAACGTCGCCCTTAGGGGCCCGCCAAGGGGTAACGTCGCCCACAAGGGCTCTCCTTATGGGCAGCGATGCCCCCAGGGGCTCTCCTCGGGGTTAGCGGTGCCCCCAGGGGACCATCCAAAAGCAGTGGCGACCCAAGGGGCGACGGTACCCTTGGAGGCCTTCCCAGGGGCCCTACCAGAGGCCTCCACTACCTGGAGACATATAGCTTTAGGTCGTAGTTTCGTACGTATTGCATACGTCCAGCAATCCCTTACTTAACTGTGATTGGTGGACTAAAATGTAAATGCAAATATCAACCAATAGGAGAACAGAGCAGTCAGTCAGCACAACACCCTAACTTATGTTTTCCTGTTGGATATTTATTCTCCTTTACATTGTTCATGGTGTGATGATACTGGAAATGCGATGGGCGGAGTATTTATTCATATCTCCCATTGTTCTAAATGTGCAAAAACAACTGCCCCCACGGTTAATCCAGTGATAGTGCGCCCTAGGGCCCTCCCATTTGCCTTACCAGGTGCGTCACTCTTAGGGGCTCTCACAGGGGTGTTGGTGGCCCCAGGGAACCTGGCAAAGGTGGCGGCGCTCCCAAGGGCCCTACCTGGGGCGGTGGCGCACCCAGGGTCCTTCCCAGGTGTGGTGGCCCCAGAGGGTCCCTCCCAGGGGCACCGGTGCCCCCAGGGGACCTCTCAGGTGTGGTTGCGCCTCCAGGCGCCGGCCAAGGGGTAACGTCGCCCCCAGGGGACCGCCAAGGGGTAACATCACCCAGAGGGGACCGCCAAGGGGTAATGTCGCCCACAGGGGCTCTTCTTAGGGGCATCGATGCCCCCAGGGGCTTTCGTCAGGGTTAGCGGTGCCCCCAGGGGACCTTCCTTAGGCGGTGGCGCCCCAAGGGGCGACGGTACCCTTGGGGGCCTTCCCATGGGCCCTACCAGAGGCCTCCACTACCTGGAGACATATAGCTTTAGGTCATAGTTTCGTACGTATTGCATACGTCCAGCAATCCCTTACTTAACTGTGATTGGTGGACTAAAATGTAAATGCAAATATCAACCAATAGGAGAACAGAGCAGTCAGTCAGCACAACACCCTAACTTATGTTTTCCTGTTGGATATTTATTCTCCTTTACATTGTTCATGGTGTGATGATACTGGAAATGCGATGGGCGGAGTATTTATTCATATCTTCCATTGTTCTAAATGTGCAAAAACAACTGCCCCCACGGTTAATCCAGTGATAGTGCGCCCTAGGGCCCTCCCATTTGCCTTACCAGGTGCGTCACTCTTAGGGGCTCTCACAGGGGTGTCGGTGCCCCCAGGGAACCTGGCAAAGGTGGCGGCGCTCCCAGGGGCCCTACCTGGGGCGGTGGCGCACCCAGGGTCCTTCCCAGGTGTGGTGGCCCCAGAGGGTCCCTCCCAGGGGCACCGGTGCCCCCAGGGGACCTCTCAGGTGTGGTTGCGCCTCCAGCCGCCGGCCAAGGGGTAACGTCGCCCCCAGGGGACCGCCAAGGGGTAACATCACCCAGAGGGGACCGCCAAGGGGTAATGTCGCCCACAGGGGCTCTTCTTTGGGGCATCGATGCCCCCAGGGGCTCTCGTCAGGGTTAGCGGTGCCCCCAGGGGACCTTCCATAGGCGGTGGCGCCCCAAGGGGCGACGGTACCCTCAGGGGCCTTCCCAGGTGCCCTACCAGAGGCGTCCCCTACGTGGAGACCTATAGCTTTGGTGGTAGTGTCATACATATTGCATACGTCCAGCAATACCTTACTTAACTGTGATTGGTGGACTAAAATGTAAATGCAAATATCAGCCAATAGGAGAACAGAGCAGTCAGTCAGCACAACACCCCAACTTATGTTTTCCTGTTGGATATTTATTCTCCTTTACATTGTTCATGGTGTGATGATACTGGAAATGCGATGGGCGGAGTATTTATTCATATCTCCCGTTGTTCTAAATGTGCAAAAACAACTGCCCCCACGGTCAATTCAATGATAGTGCCCCCTAGGTCCCTCCCATTTACCCTACCAGGTGCGTCGCCCTAGGGGCTCTCCCAGGGATGTCGGTGCCTCCAGGGGCCCTGCAAAGGGTGTCGGTGCTCCCAGGGGCCCTGTTAGGGGCGGTGGCGCACCCAGGGGCCTTCCCAGGTGCGGTGGCACCCACAGGGTCCCTCTCAGGGGCACCGGTGGCCCCAGAAGGCCTCTCAGGTGTTGTGGCGCCCACAGGAGCCCGCCAAGGGCTAACGTCGCCCCCAGGGGACCGCCAAAGGGTAACGTCGCCCCCAGTCGCTCTTCTGTGGTCAGCTATGCCTCCAGGGGCTCTCCTCAGGGTCACCGGTGCCCCCAGGCGATCTCTTAGGTATGGTGGCGCCCCCAGGGACCCGCCAAGGGGTAACATCGCCCCCAGGAGCTCTTCTTAGGGGCAGAGCGATGCCCCCAGGGTCTCCCCTCACGGTCAGCCGTGCCTCCAGGGGTCCTTCCAGAGCAGGTGGCGCCCCAAGGGGCAGCGGTACCCTCAGGGGCCTTCTCAGGGGCCCTACCAGAGGCGTCCCTTACCTGGAGACCTATAGCTTTTGCTGGAAGTGTCGTACATATTGCATACGTCCAGCAATCCCTTACTTAACTGTGATTGGTGACTAAAATATAAATGCAAATATCAGCCAATAGGAGAACAGAGTAGTCAGTCAGCACAACACCCCAACTTATGTTTTCCTGTTGGATATTTATTCTCTTTTACATTGTTCATGGTGTGATGATACTGGAAATGCGATGGGCGGAGTATTTATTCATATCTCCCATTGTTCTAAATGTGCAAAAACAACTGCCCCCACGGTCAATCCAATGATAGTGCCCCCTGGGTTCCTCCACGGAGTAGTGGTTCTAGGTGTGTTGCCTCGAGTTACGGCGGGTTGTGGCTCAGGGGGCCCTACTTGGGGAGTGGTGGGCGCGCAGGGGCAGCACCACGTTTGCGGTGGCGTGATGCGCCGGTGCCGTTTTGGGGACCTCTCAGGTGTGGTGGCGCCCACAGGGGCCCGCCAAGGGCTAATGTCGCCCCCAGGGGACCGCCAAGGGGTAACGTCGCCCCCAGTGGCTCTTCTTTGGGGCAGTGATGGCCCCAGGGGCTCTCCTCAGGGTAAGTGGTGCCCCTAGGGGTTCTCTCAGGTATGGTGGCCCCCCCAAGGGCCTGCCAAGGGGTAACGCCGCCTCCAGGGGCCCGACAAGGGGTAACGGTGACCCCAGGGGACCGCCAAGGGGTAACGTCGCCCATAGGGGCTCTTCTTTGGAGCAGCGAGGACCTCAGGGGCTCTCAGGGTCAGCGGTGCCCCCAGGGGACCTGCCAGAGGCGGTGGCGCCCCAAGGGGCGACGGTACCTTCAGGGGCCTTCCCAGAGGCCCTACCAGAGGCGTCCCCTGCCTGGAAACCTGCAGCTTTTGGTCGTAGTGTCGTACATATTGCATACGTCCAGCAATCCCTTACTTAACTGTGATTGGTGGACTAAAATGTAAATGCAAATATCAGCCAATAGGAGAACAGAGCAGTCAGTCAGCACAACACCCCAACTTATGTTTTCCTGTTGGATATTTATTCTCTTTTACATTGTTCATGGTGTGATGATACTGGAAATGCGATGGGCGGAGTATTTATTCATATCTCCCATTGTTCTAAATGTGCAAAAACAACTGCCCCCACGGTCAATCCAATGATAGTGCCCCCTGGGTCCCTCCCATGTGCCCTACCAGATGCGTCGCTTTTAGGGACTCTCACAGGGGTGTCGGTGCCCTCAGGGTCCCTGGCAAGGGTGGCGGCGCTCCCAGGGGCCCTACTTGGGGCGGTGGCGCACCCAGGGGCCTTCCCAGTTGCGGTGGCGCCCATAGTGTCCCTCCCAGAGGCACCGGTGCCCCCAGGGGACCTCTCAGGTGTGGAGGCGCCCACAGGGGCCCGCCAAGGGCTAATGTCGCCCCCAGGGGACCGCCAAGGGGTAACGTCGCCCCCAGTGGCTCTTCTTTGGGGCAGTGATGGCCCCAGGGGCTCTCCTCAGGGTAAGTGGTGCCCCTAGGGGTTCTCTCAGGTATGGTGGCCCCCCCAAGGGCCTGCCAAGGGGTAACGCCGCCTCCAGGGGCCCGACAAGGGGTAACGGTGACCCCAGGGGACCGCCAAGGGGTAACGTCGCCCATAGGGGCTCTTCTTAGGAGCAGCGAGGACCCCAGGGGCTCTCAGGGTCAGCGGTGCCCCCAGGGGACCTGCCAGAGGCGGTGGCGCCCCAAGGGGCGACGGTACCTTCAGGGGCCTTCCCAGAGGCCCTACCAGAGGCGTCCCCTGCCTGGAAACCTACAGCTTTTGGTCGTAGTGTCGTACATATTGCATACGTCCAGCAATCCCTTACTTAACTGTGATTGGTGGACTAAAATGTAAATGCAAATATCAGCCAATAGGAGAACAGAGCAGTCAGTCAGCACAACACCCCAACTTATGTTTTCCTGTTGGATATTTATTCTCTTTTACATTGTTCATGGTGTGATGATACTCGAAATGCGATGGGCGGAGTATTTATTCATATCTCCCATTGTTCTAAATGTGCAAAAACAACTGCCCCCACGGTCAATCCAGTGATAGTGCCCCCTGGGTCCCTCCCATGTGCCCTACCAGGTGCGTCGCTCTTAGGGGCTCTGACAGGGGTGTCGATGCCCTCAGGGTCCCTGGCAAGGGTGGCGGCGCTCCCAGGGGCCCTACCTGGGGCGGTGACGCACCCAGGGGCCTTCTCAGGTGCGGTGGCGCCCACAATGTCCCTCCCAGAGGCACCGGTGCCCCCAAGGGACCTCTCAGGTGTGGTAGCGCCCCCAGGCGCCGGCCAAGGGTAACGTCGCCCCCAGGGGCCCGCCAAGAGGTAACGTCGTCCACAAGGGCTCTCCTTATGGGCAGCGATGCCCCCAGGGGCTCTCCTCAGGGTCAGCGGTGCCCCCAGGGGACCATCCAAAAGCAGTGGCGCCCCAAGGGGCGACGGTACCCTTGGGGGCCTTCCCAGGGGCCCTACCAGAGGCCTCCACTACCTGGAGACATATAGCTTTAGGTCGTAGTTTCGTACGTATTGCATACGTCCAGCAATCCCTTACTTAACTGTGATTGGTGGACTAAAATGTAAATGCAAATATCAGCCAATAGGAGAACAGAGTAGTCAGTCAGCACAACACCCCAACTTATGTTTTCCTGTTGGATATTTATTCTCCTTTACATTGTTCATGGTGTGATGATACTGGAAATGCGATGGGCGGAGTATTTATTCATATCTCCCATTGTTCTAAATGTGCAAAAACAACTGCCCCCACGGTCAATCCAGTGATAGTGCGCCCTGGGGCACTCCCATTTGCCCTACCAGGTGCATCGATCTTGGGGCTCTCCCAAGGGTGTCGGCGACCCCAGGGGCCCTGACAAGGGTGGCGGCAATCCCAGGAGCCCTGCCAGGCGCGGTGGCGCACCCAGGGGCCTTCCCAGGTGCGGTGGCGACCACAGGTTCCCTCGGGCACCGGAGCCCCCAGGGGACCTCTCAGGTGTGGTGGCGCCCCCAGGGGCCCTCCAAGGGGTAACGTTTCCCACAGGTGCCCGCCAAGAGGTAACGTTGCCCCCATGGGACCGCCAAGGGGTAACGTCACCCCCAGGGGACCGCCAAGGGTAACGTCGCCCCAGGGCTCTTCTTTGCTGCAGCAATGCCCCCAGGGGCTCTCCTCAGGGGCACTGGTGCCCCAGGGGAGCTCTCAGGTGTGGTGGCGCGCCCATGGGCACGCCAAGGGGTAGCATCGCCCCCAGGGGCTCTTCTTATGGGCAGCGATGCCCCTAGGGCTCCCTTCAGGGTCAGCAGTGCCCCCAGGGGACCTTCCAGAGGTGGTGGCGCCCCAAGGGGCGGCGCTACCCTCAGGGGCTTCCCAGGTGCCCTACCAGAGGCGTCCCCTACGTGGAGACCTATAGCTTTGGTGGTAGTGTCATACATATTGCATACGTCCAGCAATACCTTACTTAACTGTGATTGGTGGACTAAAATGTAAATGCAAATATCAGCCAATAGGAGAACAGAGCAGTCAGTCAGCACAACACCCCAACTTATGTTTTCCTGTTGGATATTTATTCTCTTTTACATTGTTCATGGTGTGATGATACTCGAAATGCGATGGGCGGAGTATTTATTCATATCTCCCATTGTTCTAAATGTGCAAAAACAACTGCCCCCACGGTCAATCCAGTGATAGTGCCCCCTGGGTCCCTCCCATGTGCCCTACCAGGTGCGTCGCTCTTAGGGGCTCTGACAGGGGTGTCGGTGCCCTCAGGGTCCCTGGCAAGGGTGGCGGCGCTCCCAGGGGCCCTACCTGGGGCGGTGGCGCACCCAGGGGCCTTCTCAGGTGCGGTGGCGCCCACAATGTCCCTCCCAGAGGCACCGGTGCCCCCCAAGGGACCTCTCAGGTGTGGTAGCGCCCCCAGGCGCCGGCCAAAAGGTAACGTCGCCCTTAGGGGCCCGCCAAGGGGTAACGTCGCCCACAAGGGCTCTCCTTATGGGCAGCGATGCCCCCAGGGGCTCTCCTCAGGGTTAGCGGTGCCCCCAGGGGACCATCCAAAAGCAGTGGCGCCCCAAGGGGCGACGGTACCCTTGGAGGCCTTCCCAGGGGCCCTACCAGAGGCCTCCACTACCTGGAGACATATAGCTTTAGGTCGTAGTTTCGTACGTATTGCATACGTCCAGCAATCCCTTACTTAACTGTGATTGGTGGACTAAAATGTAAATGCAAATATCAACCAATAGGAGAACAGAGCAGTCAGTCAGCACAACACCCTAACTTATGTTTTCCTGTTGGATATTTATTCTCCTTTACATTGTTCATGGTGTGATGATACTGGAAATGCGATGGGCGGAGTATTTATTCATATCTCCCATTGTTCTAAATGTGCAAAAACAACTGCCCCCACGGTCAATCCAGTGATAGTGCGCCCTAGGGCCCTCCCATTTGCCTTACCAGGTGCGTCACTCTTAGGGGCTCTCACAGGGGTGTTGGTGGCCCCAGGGAACCTGGCAAAGGTGGCGGCGCTCCCAGGGGCCCTACCTGGGGCGGTGGCGCACCCAGGGTCCTTCCCAGGTGTGGTGGCCCCAGAGGGTCCCTCCCAGGGGCACCGGTGCCCCCAGGGGACCTCTCAGGTGTGGTTGCGCCTCCAGGCGCCGGCCAAGGGGTAACGTCGCCCCCAGGGGACCGCCAAGGGGTAACATCACCCAGAGGGGACCGCCAAGGGGTAATGTCGCCCACAGGGGCTCTTCTTAGGGGCATCGATGCCCCCAGGGGCTCTCGTCAGGGTTAGCGGTGCCCCCAGGGGACCTTCCATAGGCGGTGGCGCCCCAAGGGGCGACGGTACCCTCAGGGGCCTTCCCAGGGGCCCTACCAAAGGCGCCCACTACCTGGAGACCTATAGCTTTTGGGGGTAGTGTCGTCCATATTGCATACGTCCAGCAATACCTTACTTAACTGTGATTGGTGGACTAAAATGAAATGCAAATATCAGCCAATAGGAGAATAGAGCAGTCAGTCAGCACAACACCCCAACTTATGTTTTCCTTTGGATATTTATTCTCCTTTACATTGTTCATGGTGTGATGATACTGGAAATGCGATGGGCGGAGTATTTATTCATATCTCCCATTGTTCTAAATGTGCAAAAACAACTGCCCCCACGGTCAATCCAGTGATAGTGCGCCCTGGGGCACTCCCATTTGCCCTACCAGGTGCATCGATCTTGGGGCTCTCCCAGGGGTGTCGGCGACCCCAGGGGCCCTGACAAGGGTGTCGGCAATCCCAGGAGCCCTGCCAGGGGCGGTGGCGCACCCAGGGGCCTTCCCAGGTGCGGTGGCGACCACAGGTTTCCTCTCAAGGGCACCGGAGCCCCCAGGGGACCTCTCAGGTGTGGTGGCGCCCTCAGGTGCCCTCCAAGGGGTAACGTTTCCCACAGGTGCCCGCCAAGAGGTAACGTTGCCCCCATGGGACCGCCAAGGGGTAACGTCACCCCCAGGGGACCGCCAAGGGTAACGTCACCCCCAGGGGCTCTCCTCAGGGGCACTGGTGCCCCCAGGGGAGCTCTCAGGTGTGGTGGCGCGCCCATGGGCACGCCAAGGGGTAACGTCGCCCCCAGGGGCTCTTCTTATGGGCAGCGATGCCCCTAGGGGCTCCCCTCAGGGTCAGCAGTGCCCCCAGGGGACCTTCCAGAGGTGGTGGCGCCCCAAGGGGCGGCGCTACCCTCATGGGCCTTCCCAGGTGCCCTACCACAGGCGTTCCCTAACTGGAGACCTATAGCTTTTGGTGGTACTGTCTAGCATATTGCATACGTCCAGCAATCCCTTACTTAACTGTGATTGGTGTACTAGAATGTAGATGCAAATATCAGCCAATAGGAGAACAGAGCAGTCAGTCAGCACAACACCACAACTTATGTTTTCCTGTTGGATATTTATTCTCCTTTACATTGTTCATGGTGTATCAGGAAATGCGATGGCCGAAGTATTTATTCATATCTCCCATTGTTCTAAATATTAAAAAACAACTGCCCCCACGGTCAATCCAGTTATAGTCCACCCTGGGGCCCTCCCATTTGCCCTACCAGGTGCGTCGCCCTAGGGGCGGTCCCATGGGTGTCAGTTTCCCCAGGGGCCCTGGGAAGGGTGGCGGCTATCCCAGGGGCCCTGCCAGGGGCGGTGGCGCACCCAGGGGCCTTCCCAGGTGCGGTGGCGCCCACAGGGTCCCTTTCAGGGGCACCTGTGTCCCCAGGGGACCTCTCAGGTGTGGTGGCGCGCCCAGGGGCCGGCCAAGGGATAAGATTGCCCCAGGGGATCTTCTTTTGGGTAGCGATGCCTCCAGGGGCTCTTCTTTTGGGCAGCGATGCCCCTAGGGGCTCTCCTCAGGGGCACCGGTGCCCCTAGGGGAGCTGTCAGGTGTGGTGGCACCCCCAGGGGCCCGTCAAGGTGTAACGTCGCCCACTGTCGCTCTTCTTAAGGGCAGCGATGCCCCCAAGGGTCCTTCTAGAGGCGGTAGCGTCCCAAGGGGTGGCGATACCCTCAGGAGCCTTCCCAGGTGCCCTACCTATAGCTTTTGGTGGTAGTGTCGTACATATTGCATACGTCCAGCAATCCCTTACTTAACTGTGATTGGTGGACTAAAATGTAAATCCAAAAAACAGCCAATAGGAGAACAGAACAGTCAGTCATCACAACACCCCAACTTATGTTTTCCTGTTGGATATTTATTCTCCTTTACATTGTTCATGGTGTGATGATATATCCCATTGTTCTAAATGTGCAAAAACAACTGCCCCCACTGTCAATCCAGTGATAGTGCCCGCTGGGTCCCTCCCATTTGCCCTACCAGGTGCGTCGCCCTAGGGGCTCTCCCAGGTGTGTCGCTGCCCCCAGGGGCTCTGCCAGTGGCGGTGGGGCACCTAGGGGCGTTCCCAGGTGCGGTGGCGCCCATAGGATCCCTCGCAAAGGCACCGGTGCCCCCAGAGGACCTCTTAGGTGTGCTGGCGCCCTCCTAGGGGCCCGCCAAGGCGTAACGTCGCCCCCAGGGAACCGCCAAGGCGTAACGTTTCCCCCAGGGGACCGCCAAGGGGTAACATCGCCCCCAGCGGACCGCCAAGGGGTAACGTCGCCCCCAGGGGACCGCCAAATAGTAACGTCGCCCCCAGGGGCTCTTTTTTGGGGCAGCGATACTCCCAGGGACTCCTCAGGGGCATCGGTGCCTTCAGGGGAGCTCTCAGGTGTGGTGGCGCCCCCAGGGGTCTGCCAAGGGGTCACGTCGTCAGCAGGGGCTCTTCTTAGGCGCACCGATGCCCCCAGGGGCTCCCCTCAGGGTCAGCCATGCCCCCAGGGGACCTTCCATTGGCGGTGACGCCCCAAGGGGCGGCGGTACCCTCAGGGGCCTTCCCAGGTGCCCTACCAGAGGCGTCCCCTACGTGGAGACCTATAGCTTTGGTGGTAGTGTCATACATATTGCATACGTCCAGCAATACCTTACTTAACTGTGATTGGTGGACTAAAATGTAAATGCAAATATCAGCCAATAGGAGAACAGAGCAGTCAGTCAGCAAAATACCCCAACTTATGTTTTCCTGTTGGATATTTATTCTCCTTTACATTGTTCATGGTGTGATGATACTGGAAATGCGATGGGCGGAGTATTTATTCATATCTCCCGTTGTTCTAAATGTGCAAAAACAACTGCCCCCACGGTCAATTCAATGATAGTGCCCCCTAGGTCCCTCCCATTTACCCTACCAGGTGCGTCGCCCTAGGGGCTCTCCCAGGGGTGTCGGTGCCTCCAGGGGCCCTGCAACGGGTGTCGGTGCTCCTAGGGGCGGTGGCGCACCCAGGGGCCTTCCCAGGTGCGGTGGCAACCACAGGGTCCCTCCCAGGGGCACCGGTGGCCTCTCAGGTGTTGTGGCGCCCACAGGGGCCCGCCAAGGGCTAACGTCGCCCCCAGGGGACCGCCAAAGGGTAACGTCGCCCCCAGTCGCTCTTCTGTGGTCAGCTATGCCTCCAGGGGCTCTCCTCAGGGTCACCGGTGCCCCCAGGCGATCTCTTAGGTATGGTGGCGCCCCCAGGGGCCCGCCAAGGGGTAACATCGCCCCCAGGAGCTCTTCTTAGGGGCAGAGCGATGCCCCCAGGGTCTCCCCTCACGGTCAGCCGTGCCTCCAGGGGTCCTTCCAAAGCAGGTGGCGCCCCAAGGGGCAGCGGTACCCTCAGGATCCTTCTCAGGGGCCCTACCAGAGGCGTCCCTTACCTGGAGACCTAAAGCTTTTGCTGGAAGTGTCGTACATATTGCATACGTCCAGCAATCCCTTACTTAACTGTGATTGGTGACTAAAATATAAATGCAAATATCAGCCAATAGGAGAACAGAGCAGTCAGTCAACACAACACCCCAACTTATGTTTTCCTGTTGGATTTTTATTCTCCTTTACATTGTTCATGGTGTGATGATACTGGAAATGCGATGGGCGGAGTTTTTATTCATATCTCCCATTGTTCTAAATGTGCAAAAACAACTGCCCCCACGGTCAATCCAGTGATAGTGCGCCCTAGGGCCCTCCCATTTGCCTTACTAGGTGCGTCGCCATAGGGGCTCTCCCAGGGGTGTCGGTGCCTCCAGGGGCCCTGCAAAGGGTGTCGGTGCTCCCAGGGGCCCTGTTAGGGGCGGTGGCGCACCCAGGGGCCTTCCCAGGTGCGGTGGCACCCACAGGGTCCCTCCTAGGGGCACCGGTGGCCCCAGAAGGCCTCTCAGGTGTTGTGGCGCCCACAGGGGCCCGCCAAGGGCTAACGTCACCCCCAGGGGACCGCCAAAGGGTAACGTCGCCCCCAATCGCTCTTCTGTGGTCAGCTATGCCTCCAGGGGCTCTCCTCAGGGTCACCGGTGCCCCCAGGCGATCTCTTAGGTATGGTGGCGCCCCCAGGGGCCCGCCAAGGGGTAACATCGCCCCCAGGAGCTCTTCTTAGGGGCAGAGCGATGCCCCCAGGGTCTCCCCTCACGGTCAGCCGTGCCTCCAGGGGTCCTTCCAGAGCAGGTGGCGCCCCAAGGGGCAGCGGTACCCTCAGGGGCCTTCTCAGGGGCCCTACCAGAGGCGTCCCTTACCTGGAGACCTAAAGCTTTTGCTGGAATTGTCGTACATATTGCATACGTCCAGCAATCCCTTACTTAACTGTGATTGGTGACTAAAATATAAATGCAAATATCAGCCAATAGGAGAACAGAGCAGTCAGTCAGCACAACACCCCAACTTATGTTTTCCTGTTGGATTTTTATTCTCCTTTACATTGTTCATGGTATGATGATACTGGAAATGCGATGGGCGGAGTATTTATTCATATCTCCCATTGTTCTAAATGTGCAAAAACAACTGCCCCCACGGTCAATCCAGTGATAGTGCGCCCTAGGGCCCTCCCATTTGCCTTACTAGGTGCGTCGCCCTAGGGGCTCTCCCAGGGGTGTCGGTGCCTCCAGTGGCCCTGACAAGGGTGGCGGCACTCCTAGGGGCCCTGCCAGGGGCGAAGACACACGCAGGAGCCTTCTTAGATGCGGTGGCGCCTACGGGGTCCCACCCAGGGGCACCGGTGCACCCAGGGGACCTCTCAGGTGTGGTTTCGCCCCCATGGGTTCGCCAACGGGTAACGTCGCCCCCAGGAGCCCGCCAATGGGTAACGTTGACCCCAGGGGACCGCCAACTGGTAACGTCGCCCACAGAGGCTCTTCTTAAGGGCAGCAATGCCCCCAAGGGCTCTCCTCAGGGTCAGCGGTGCCCCCAATCACCTGAAAAACCAATTGTTGGCAAGTACTGAAATAAGCATTGAGAAAAATTTCATTAAAATATTCCAAGCATCATTACGACCACTAATTATTCCGCAATCGAACTGTCGATGAAAGGATCGGACTCGGCATGCTCAGGAGTACCTATACTGTGATTTTGAACAAAATTGCGTATATCGCGTTTTGTCTCGACCCTGGAAAAATTGCGTAAGGGGGGACCCTTACGCGTTTTTTCACCCAAATATGATTTTCTCTCAAACTTGAAATTTGGTGGGATTAATTTCAGTTATTAAGTACTTCCAGAAGAACATAACAACACCAACCAATCACCTGAGAAACCAATAGTTGGCGAGTACTGAAATAAGCATTGAGAAAATTTTCATTTTAATAGACCAAGCATCATTACAACCACTAATAATACCGCAATCGAACTGTCGATGATAGGATCAGAATCAGCATGCTCAGGAGTACCTATACTGTGATTTTGAACAAAATCGCGTTTATCGTGTTTTGTCTCGACCCTGGAAAAAACGCGTAAGGGCTACAGGTCTTGCGCCACCAGGGCTTCTCGCAATGGCGGCGAAGGCCCCATGGACTATCCCAGGGACACTCGCAGGGGCGGCGGCTCCTCAGGGACTTTTCCAGAGGGGTCGACGCCCCCATGGGCCCTCCTAGAGGCAGCGACGCCTTCAGAGACCCTCCTAGGGATGGTGGCGCCCCCAAGGACCCTGCCAGGGGAGGCTGCACCCCCAGGGGCCTTCTCAATGGCGGCTGCGCCCCCAGGAGCCTTCCCAGGGGTGATTGAGCCCCCAGCTGCCATCCCAGGGACAGCAGCGTCTCCAGGAACCCTCTTAGGGGCGGTAGCGCCCCCAAGGGCTTTCCCAGCGTCGACAGTGCCCCCAGGGGCCCTCTCAAGGGCAGCGGCATCTCCAGGGACCCTCCTAGGCTCAGTAGCGCCTCCAGGTGCCCTTTGAAGGGCGGCGGCGCTTCAAGCGATCATCCCAGGGGACCTCCCAGGGGCAGTGGCGCCCCCATTGACCCTTCCTGGGGCTGTGGTTTCCACAGGGACCCTCCAAGGGGCGGCGGCACCCCCAAAACCCCCTCAGAGATGTGGTCGCCCCCAAGTGTACCTCCCAGGGGTGACGGCGCCCCGGGGGCCATCCCAGCGTCAGCGGCGCCTGCAGGGGCCATTTCAGGGCCAGCGACGTCCCTAGAAACTCCCAGAGATGGCGCCCTCATTGAGCCTCTCAGGGGTGTGGGGCCACTATGAACCCTCGTAAAGTGGACGTCCCCCATCTTGGACCCTCCCAGGGGTGGCAGCACCCCCATGGACCCTCCCAGGTATGGCGGCGCCCCTTGGAACCCTCTCAGGGGGGGCGGAGCCCCCCCTACAGACCCTACCTAGGGTCCCCATGGGACTTATTGCATGCTTGTTCGTTGTATGATATATATTACATACTTCCAGCAGTTCTTTAGTGAACTATGATTGGTGGACTATTCCTTTAACCCACCAAATTACCGCCAATAGGAGAAGAGAGCAGTCAGTCAACACAGCACCACAACTTATGTTTTCCTATTGGATATTATTCTCCATTACCGTCTCCAGAATGCGATGAGACTGAAAATGTGAAGGGCGATGTATATATTTATCGTTGCATTTCCCAGAGTTCTAAATAGTGCAAAAACTACTTCAATCCAGGGGTCCTACAGGTCTGGCGCTCGCATGGGACCTCCCAGAGACTGCAGCGCCACCAGGGGCTCTCCCAGAGCGGCGGCGCCCACAGGAACCTTCCCAAGGGCGATGGACCCCCGTTACCCTCCCAGGGGCGGCAGCGCTCTCAGGGACCTTCACAGGGACGGAGGCACCCCAGGGACCCTCCCAGGGGCGGCGGTGCTCCCAGGGACTTTCGCAGAGACCCTCCCAAGGGTAGCAACGCCCCCAGGGACCTTCCAAGGGACGGTGGCGCGCCCAGGGACCATATCAAGAGCGGCGGCGCCCCAGTGGCTCTCTCAGGGACGGCCACGCCCCAAAGAGCCCCCCAGGGGTGGTGGCAACCCCAGAGGCCCTCCCAATGGTGGTGACGTTCCCAAGGTCCCACTCAGGGGCGGCAGTGCCCCCAGGGGCTCTCCCAGGGGTTGTGGCGCCACCATGGGCCCACTCAAAGGCGGCGGCGCCCCCAGGGACCTTCCCAGAGGCAGTTGTGCCCCCAAGGACACTCCCAGGGACAGCTGCGCTCCAAGGGACCTTTCCAGCGACGGTGACCCCCTCAGGGAACCTCACTTGAAAATGCCCATGATATTGGTCAGATTTAAAAACAAATTATTGAGGGGCGGGCTTACAGCGCTACCCTTTCCCTGAAAACCCTAGCTAGGTGGGCTCGTTGTGTTCGCCATGTTCCCCAACTGAAAACGTCTCGGACCCCCCCCCCTCCCCCCTTTTTTATTTTCCTGGGTCCGCCCCGGTGTACAGTATCCCTCGGTGTTGAACTTGCGTATACACGCTTCCTTCTTTAATGACACTACCTTACCACAAGTGTCCTTATTTTGTAATATTTTTTCCTCGCCAATTAGGTGTACTAAAAACCAAGGTATAAAGATATATTTATGCCTTGCTAAAAACATCCCGTTCTGGTTGAGAGGAAGTATCGCTTTTCCAACTGTGACAATCATGATGAGGGTGGCGGCTTTATTATTAAGTTTTAGTGATTGTGGGTATGTCAGATTCTTCCCCAAAATCACCAACCAGATATACCTGTGACCTTAACTGGCTACTTGCATGAGTACGTGTCAATGTATGTGTGCATGTGGTAGTGTCAGGGGCTGATCCAGGAATACCAAAAAGGGGAGGGGGGGGGGGGTCCAAGAAGCGAGCATAGCGAGCACAGCGAGCCCACCCAGCTGGGGTTTGGGGGGCCACTGGGAAACACCCATTATTTTTTTTTTAAATCTGACCAATATCACGAGCATTTTTAGGCCATTTTGAAGTCACGCGCACTTGATATTAAGAGTTATTCTGAGGTCAATAATAATTACTTTTTACTGCACAAAAATGCATGAGTACAATATTGTATTTAAGAAAAAGTATTGTAATTTTCTGATGAAAAGGGGGGTCCGGATCCCCCTGGATCCGCCCCCGAGTGTGAGTATCTATGAATGTGTGCTTGTGTGTGCGTATGTACAATAATAATGACAATTCCACGGGTAAATATAATAATAACAACAAGACCAGCATAGTAGATATATTTCCAGCAACTGGGAGTATAATCCATGAGATCACAAATTGTAATGTTCAATACAACATAAATTAGTTAGAATTACAAAATCTTAAGACAACAGTGTGTAACAGACGTAACCGACCGCCTAAGCGGCTAACGAGCCGATCAGTGGTGAAGAGGATAAAAGTAAAAGTAACAAATGATGAAAGTTTGGAGCCGAACACTGTGATAGTAAACACACATATACAGTATATATAGCACTAGTGGGGCTACATCAGACTGGTTACAACTTGATGTGCAAAGACGAGTGTTTAGCAGCAAGTAGGACATCATCAAAACAATGTAATAATCTGGTACTGGATCAAGATCGGAATGTGGTCACAGTGTGATATGAACACACATAGGTGTTTACAATAAGTTGTTTTGTATAGACTGTGTGATCACCATCTGCAACATTTTTACGTACGTGTTTCTGAACTCTTTCTAATTTCCTAGTCTGTAATTGTGTAAGGCCTGGGAATCACACAAAAGCTTCATATTCCAACTGTGATCAAGAATATATCACACTGGATATGCTGTAATTCATGTATACAACTTAACAGAACCTGAAATTATTACCGCAGTAGGTGATGAATATTGTTCTGACTCCCTTACAAGTTTAACATGTCAGACTATTTAAGTACTGAGTTGTGTTGATATGTACCAACAACAGCTGACAAGGTGTATTATGTAAGGATAGGATGGAGGGATCTCTTGATCTCTTCTTTGTCATTCCCTTATAACTTTCCTGTTTTATCAAAGTGACCATAAGAAGAAGTATTAACAATGTCGTAGACTTTCTCAACTTTGTAGTAAGGGTATTTACCTCTTTTCATGGTTCTGAGGTTCACACCTTGAGCGAAGCCGTCGTGGAAGTTGTAAGGGTATCTGTAGCCTTCCTTTATGAGGTCTCCCGTCTGCATCATAATCACCCCCGACCTGCTCCCCCACCCAGGGAAAGACAAATATTTTACAATCAATAGAAGTAAATGAATTCTATCTTTCAATAATTTTACCTTTTGTCCATCCTTAGGGTGTTAACCCGGTGGCATTACCTCATCCTTTGTCTGAAGGGAAGCTAGGAATAATTAAGTCTCCCCTGAGAGACGAAGACACGTTTTTTTCTTCTTCTTGAAAAACAAAAACAAAAACAACTAGCCGTCTCTCCTTTAATTATGAGGCATTTAAATTGGGACTTTTAAATACAGTACTTGTACCATGGTCCAACACGCCACTCGAAGATCATTCAACATAGACCCCCAGAAGAGGACATCACTTTGGATCCTTTCATTCATTATTGAAACAATGAATTCAGACATACTGTAAATCAGCAGTTATGCATAAAAAAAATCAATATTAGGAGAGGGGAGTTTTGCAAAGATTTAAATTCATGTGGAACACACTAAAACTGTTGGGGGAAGGTTAAACAATATTACTGGAACGACTGAGGATGCTAAAAACGCAGCAGGTGATCCAGATGCTGGCTGAAAATACGAATTAACAAAAGATATTATAAAAAATGGAACATTATTGATAAAACGTGGGAACTGAATTGACAGAGGAAAATTTGATTTGATTTCAAGAAAGTCACAGGGAAAGTGGTGCTGACCTGCGGGGGTAGTGAGGGAAGCGAGCCCGGGCGAGTTTTGGTCGCTGGAAGTACACGAAGTAATCGTTGTCGAGTGAGCTGAAGTACGAGGAGGCATCGGGGTACAGTGTCTGCATGATCTCATAGACCAGTCGACCCACCTGGACCCAAGATGTGATGAAACGAAGGAAAACATATTACTTTCTCACTGATTAATGGGTAGTTTCAAATTTATCAATTATCCCTATGTCTCTTAAACGAAAAGATCACCTCTCCCTGTCCTATAGTAACTTCTGTGTCATTCTATCCCTAGCTGTATACTCTCCACTAATCGAAGTCAAAGTATCATATTCTATATTTGCATTCCACTCACCTTTTAGTACACTCATTTTGCTGGCAAATTATCGACACACCTTGAAAAATGTGCCATTGAGTGAAACCAGGACAGATAGAATCACAAATTGCGTTCATGGTCCATCGCTCATCACTCGCCCTGATTCATATTCTACTTTATGAAAGTATTTGATTTTCTTACCTGTAATTAATTATCTCTCAAACAATAGTGAGGGTAGTGTGGCTTGAGTCATGTTGTGTGGATCCTTTGCTGTAGGTCTTAATGGAACAGTAATATAACATCCCTAACAGGACTATTTTTACCACCCAAAGCTGCAAAAGGTGTGTGGGAGTTTAGGTAGGGACTCACATTGGACGATAAGGTGCCCACCACGAAGCTGCAACGGGATAGCATGAATACGTCGACTACACAGGAGAATTTGGAGAATTTACGCAGTTTGAACTCGCCAACGCTGTCGGTTTCTGGGTTGTACAGGATCTGGTAATTCGGGTATCTGAAAGTGTTCAAAACTGAGAGGAACTGCGGATAGTAGGAACTCCTGAAAACCCCAAATTAAGGGATTGTGAGCAGAGAAGGGGAAAATAGGTAAACAAACGGACATGTAGTTATTTTGATATTTTTCGAGAGCAAAGACAGAAAAAAAATCTTACTTTATCGTAGCATTGGAGAAGATGTTTCGGTCATCGGTGGCGAGGTAGATCCTGCGCGTGGCGTTTTTCTCCTTTAGGTCCAGACTCTTGTAGTATTCCTCCACATGATTCATGTATTCCTCCAGAT